TTGCTCACCTGATACTGGCCCCATTCTCCTACTCGCCAATGGCAGGAGTACTCACAAATGCTGGAATTTCCCAGGGTGCCTGGCATTGGTGCCATATTCGCTGTGCACCCAGTGAAGTGGTGTCAGTCTACTCTGCGTGGCTTGAAACTCTTGTGCCCTGGACATGGCTGGCAAGGAGAAATTGGCACCCCACCTTGTGGACATGAATTTGAAGGTCCTGGTAGATACAGAGGAGGTCATGAAACCAGACCTTTTTAGCCTGGTGTGTGCGGTTTCAACCCAGGGTCAGTGTGGTATCAGCTGTCTGGAGTAGTGCCCATCAGTGCCACATGCAAAGTCTGCTCTTCCAGGGTAAGCGCCAACACTTTCTCTCTAATACCCTCCCATTCTCTCTATCTCTGCCTCTGTACCAAGTAGCCCCCCAACAAGGCACATGCTCCACCACTGTCACTATTGCCCACAGCATTTTCCATCACTTCATCTCACCCACCTCAAATCCCCACACCACTAACCATGCGTGCCCTCTGTGCTGCCCACTCACTCGCCCAGGTCATCTCACCACTTTACCCACCCCTCCCCCGCCCCCCACCTGCACCAGCAGTAAGAGCTGTGCCACCCACTACCATCTCACTCAGTGACTGCCTTTGTCTCATTCCAGAAGGGAAAGGCCCACAGTCAGGCTGAATGAGCCAGGGCAGTTGTGTTTCTTTCTCAGTGGGTGGGAGAATGGGAAGCTGGACATTAATGAGGTGAGTTTGGCTGGTAATGAGGGTGACAATAAGCGACAATGCACATAAAGAGGCCTCTTGCTGCTCACTGGTGACAGTCTATTCTCACTCTCCAACACATGGTTGGAAAATGGGACTTCTTGATTTCAGTATTGAAGATCCTCCCTGGGCATTGCACCTTTCCATTCCAAACTTTTCCTCTGTGGCCCATGTCTTTCCTGGTTTGGGAAGATACAGCAATGAAGGTCTCTTCTGGCTACATTTCCAAGCTTTTGACTAAGCTTCCACCGAGATGGATGGCTTTAATCATTGTGTTTAACATCTGAAATTCTAGCTCAGCAGTCTTGTCTTCCATTGGTCAGCCTTGGCTGTTGAGGATATCTCACAGTTATTAGGCTGGTAGAGATGACCAGGATAGGGATTGGCAAGGATTGGAAGTATTTCATAACAAGGATGAGGTTTCTTTTAAATTTAGGTGTGATAGAACGGGAGCCAATGTAAAGTCAGCGAGCAGGGCTGACTGGAACTTTGTGTAAATTAGAACAACAGGCAGCAGATATTTGGGAGTGACATTGAGTTTACAAAACATAGAATGTGGGAGACTAGCCGCTAGTGTTAGAGTAGTCAAATCTGAATGTAAGAAAAGTACAGATTAAAGTTTTCAGTAGTTGAAAAGCCAACACTGACTGATAGAAAGATACAATGATGGGGAAGTGGAATTACGGGGCATTACTGCTGATGTGAGATTGGAAGCTCAGTTCAAGGCCAGATGGGATGCCAAGCTTAAGAGTGATCTAGTTCATCCTCAAACAGTGACCATGGGGACAGACTGATTTCAGTGCTGACACAACAGAGTTTGTGACAGAGGCCAAAGACAGCGACTTCAGGTTTCTTCCAGATTGGGGAAATCCCTGCTTATCCAACACTGGGTTTGAGACAAACGGTCTGATAAATTAGCAGTGGAGGGATCGAGAGTGGCTAAATGTATGCTCAAGTACTGAGACTGGGACTTGGCACAATGATCTTTTCTCTTAGTGGCAGGACTGCTACTCATGACTCAAAAAATAAATCTGATCCTAACCAGGGATAATTTGCACAACACTCTGGGATGTGAGATTTAGCAGTCTCAGAGAAAGTAAGTATGAGTACACAGACAAGCTCACTTCACTGACAGCTCATGGAATTGGAACTAAATCTCTATGAATGCTGTGCAGTCGGCAACGATGCAGCCTAAACAGCTATAGATTGTCCAATAGTTCAGCAGATATCCTATTTTGTTCCGGCTGATGGTGGCTTCGGATGAGGTCCAATCATCAGAACAACAAGCGCGCACTGAGCCTTTCCTAGAAACAAGACACCTTTGGCTCAATGGGGATGTAAAATGACAGTGAGACTGTTGGGTTCTTATTAAAACTAATTGGTTCACTCGTGATGGAGAGCTGCTGTTTCTAACTGGACTGACCAACATATGATTCCTGGCTTACTCTTGGGTGACACTTTCCTGTCCACTGAGTCCCTGGCCAGTTGCTCAGTTATCTGCACAGGGTAACCAGGGACATTCAACAAACGTTGACCCTGACCACATGCTGAGAATGGACTTTAAGAGAAAAACTGACTTCCACAAGTGCTAAAATAAAAGAACGACTAAACAAACTGTAATTCAGATCTTAGTTTAGCATAGCAGTTGTGAACCATTTATTAGATCCTGTTACTCAAGGACTTGGCTTAATTGTTGTAAACATACATATTGTGTAATTTCTATGTGTGTGTAATGAATTTTGTTTGGCTGTTAAAGCTAGGTCAAAGTACAGTTTAATGTTGATCTAATATCTTCCAAAGAGATTGTGCAGGAGAACAAGATAAATATAGAATCTGAAGTAAACCAAAGAGACTTTCATTCGGTTCTCTGGGCTCCCTACAGATTTGCCCAACAACCTGTACAAGCAAAAACACCTTCTTCTCAGGGATATGGGGATCTCAACTTTCTCTACAAGAGTTGACTAAGTCCCAGAAGTTAAACATACCCCCAGTAAAGTTGAGTGAATGAACTCCCAACAATCTATTGTTTTAGAAGATGATCAAACTCTATCAAACAGCAACCTTGGATGGAATATAGCCTGTTTCATGTATGAATAGATCACCTCCACAGGGAAATGGGAGAAACCTTTAATCAGCATGTAACTGAATTAAGGACCTGTTGCAAGATTGGTAAATTATACAAAGAACAATACAGCACAGGAACAGGCCCTTCAACCCCCCAAGCCTGCGCAAATACATTTTGCCCTTCCACACTAAAACTGTCTTCACTTAGAGGATCCGTATCCCTCTATTCCTTTCCTGTTCATGTAGTCATCCAAGTATTTCTTGAACGCTGCTATTATGTCTGCTTCCAACACCTCCTCTGGCAGCACATTCCAGCCACTTAGCACCCTTTGTGTGAAAAACTTGCCTTGCACATTTCTTTTAAACTATCACCCCACCGCCTCCTCTGCCCCCTTGTCTTGAACCTGTATCCCCTCGTAATTGACCCCTTCACCCTGGGTAAAAGCTTCATACTTTCCACCTTATCCATGCCATTCACAATCTTTTAAATTTCTATCAGTTTGCCCCTCCACCTCCTGCCTTCCAGTGAAGATAAACCCAGTCTATCCAACCTATCTTCATAGCTAAAATCCCCGATACCCGGCAACATACTGGTAAACCTTTTCTGTACCCTCTCCAAAGCATTAACATCCTTCTGGCAGTGTGGTGACCAGAACTGCATGCAATATTCCCAAGTGTGGTCGAACTAAAGTTCTATAAAGCTGCAACATAACTTGCCTATCCTTATACTCAATGCCCCTTCCAATGAAGGCAAGCATGCCATAGGTCTTTTTTTTACTACCTTATCTACCTGCGCTGCCATTTCAGTGATTTGTGGGCCTGCACACCCAGATCCCTCTGCAAATCAATACTCCTAAAGGTTCTGCCATTCACTGTATAATTTTGTCCTTCCAAACACATCACCTCACGTTTGTCCAGTTTAAACTCCGTCTGCCATTTTTCTGCCCATACCTCCAACTGATCTATATCCTGCTGTATCCTCTGACAATCCTCCTCACTGCCCGCAACTCCACTAGAATTGTGGGGATATTTTTGAGAAAATTATCATGGGAACATTCTTAAAGTCACAGTTCATTCAACTAGTTCTAAAGTTCAGGATCCTGAAAGATCATAAGAATTTCGACGAGTGCATCAGAAATTAATTGAAGCCACATTGCTTTAAAACTGAGATAAATATTGACAAGACAGCACTCATCATCATCATCTAACTGGTGTGGGGCAAACTTGGCATAGATTTAAAGGAACTGCCAAATGCTACAATATCTTGTAAAAAGTCTTAATCAGTTGGCATCTGCTTTTGATGTTGGTTGAAATCCCATGCCACATCTTGTTCCATGTGTTGAATATTTGACTGAATGGCCTCTTGTAAATACAGTGTGTGAGGGATCTGATTGGAGGGTGAGATTGGATGGTGCAGTATCCAACAGGCACATTTCCGAATATCACTGTTTCATTAACAAGAGCACTAGGTCAGAAAGAAAAAATCCCATTAAGAAACTGGTTTTACTGACGTGGACAAATCAATATCTGACCAAACATTAAATTGGTCCAAACTGATTCAGAAAAGATTAGACCTTTGGGACCTTTTTGGAGAAACAATGATGGAGGGATGACCATTAGTAAAACACACTGGGGGAGGAGTCACCTTGAGAGGTAACATTAAATTGGTGATACAGTGTGGGTCAACTATGGTACACAGTATTCAGCTCTATTCACCTTGATAGAACGGATTAGAAGCAAGAGTATTTCATGGGCTGTCCTCATGATACCACCCATGGAATTTCATTGCTAATCAGAGCCCACATATTCAGGAATACTGGAACCAGAGAAGAGCAAGCCATGAGGAATTATTTGGTTTCAGATGGTGCGAGTGTATGTTAATACATGTTCTCGGGTGTCAGCATGTGTGTCGGGGTGCTTGTGTGTCAGGGTGCATGTGTGTTGGTTTTGTGCTTGTATTTGCACATGTCGAGTATTTCCTGTTTAATACTCAGTGCAGGCAGCTCCATTCAGATGAAGGACAGACTGCACTAGGGGGAAATACAGTTGTACGAATGAGTGAAGAGAATGGGAGGCATTGCAACTCACAGGAGGAACAATACTGGAAAAGTCACAGTGTCGGAGGTGAGAAAGAACAAAAGGATAATAAATGCTATCTTTTGTTTCTAGGCCTCTGCGGGGATCAAGCCCAAGAATTTTGAAAAGATGCCAGACTTGATCGAGTATTACAAACAGGAGAACACGGGGCTGGTGACGAACCTACGGTATCCGGTAGAAAGAGCGGAAGAAGTGGATGGACAGGAGGTGGCAGTAGGTAAAAGAGGGGAATGTCCCAAAACTGGGCTTAACGTGTCCACAATTAAATTGTGTTTAAGAGGTTTCCCCCAACAACTGAGGGAAGTATATGAACTGCGTACGGTGGTACTGAGTTACTCAAGGCTGGAGAGCCAGCCATCTTAGTTCCAGTCCCTGTTGCATTAGCTGTTCTCATCCAGATCACAAAGGGAGATCTGTAGTTATCCTGGGTTAGTAGGAACTGCAGATGCTGGAGAATCTGAGATAGCACGGTATAGAGCTGGATGAACACAGCAGGCCAAGCAGCATCATAGGAGCAGGAAGGCCGACGTTTCGGGCCT